GCTCCACGGATGAGCGGTGTTACTTCTGTGCGAGTGTGGGCGCTCCACGGATGAGCGGTGTTACTTCTGTGCGAGTGTGGGCGCTCCATTGATGATCGGTGTTACTTGTGTGCGAATGTGGGCGCTCCATTGATGAGCAGTGTTACTTCTGTGCAAGCGTGGGTGCTCCACGGATGAGCGGTGTTGCTTCTGTGCGAGTGTGGGCGCTCCGCTTCTGTACGGGTGTGGGCGCTCCACGGATGAGCGGTGTTGCTTCTGTGCGAGCGTGGGTGCTCCACGGATGAGCGGTGTTACTTCTGTGCGAGCGTGGGCGCTCCACGGATGAGCGGTGTTACTTCTGTGCGAGCGTGGGTGCTCCACGGATGAGCGGTGTTGCTTCTGTGCGAGTGTGGGCGCTCCATTGATGATCAGTGTTACTTGTGTGCGAATGTGGGCGCTCCATTGATGAGCAGTGTTACTTCTGTGCGAGCGTGGGCGCTCCACGGATGAGCGGTGTTGCTTCTGTGCGAGTGTGGGCGCTCCATTGATGAGCGGTGCTACTTCGGTGCGAGTGTGGGCGCTCCACGGATGAGCGGTGTTGCTTCTGTGCGAGCGTGGGTGCTCCACGGATGAGCGGTGTTACTTCTGTGCGTGCGTGGGTGCTCCACGGATGAGCGGTGTTACTTCTGTGCGAGTGTGGGCGCTCCACGGATGAGCGGTGTTACCTCTGTGAAAGTGTGGGCACTTCATTCTTCTCGCTTCCAGGTTTCCCAGGTGATGCATGCCTTTTGGCACAAAATCTTTTGACAAAACTTTTTGCCACAATTATTCTGCCCTTGTTGCCCAACTCAAAAGAGTAATTTTTATCTTAGGAATTACAACCAGTAAAGGAATTCTTTTTTTAAAAAAGTGTCACTTTGAAAAAAGTCTTAAAAATAATGATAGCCCAGGGTTTTAATTTTTAAATGGTTTTACTACCTGTATTCCAAATAACTATGGAGGAAGGTAAAACTGGATTTTGTTGGCCCCACAGTTACAATGTGGTTAAGAGCAGTCCAGAATCCAGGCTTTTAAATGTCAAGTAAGCATTCTTTTCACTATATTACAGTATCTTTGAATCACACTGGTGGGGCCTCCTGTGACCACAGTTACAGATTCTATGCTCGCAGCACCAACCTAAGCCAGCATTTCCAATGCCTTAAAAATCGAAAGCAACATTAGGCCTCCATGGAAGAACAGGCCATTATGAAGTCTGTGAACACAAACAGTAACTCCATCTGCTAGGGAGGGCTAACCTAAGTAATAAGGTTTGACCATACAACTAACATTAAAAATCTTGCTTGTATATGGCATCTCCTCTTACATTTTCCTGTAAATACACAATTCTTTCAAAATAAAAATAAAATACTTGCTCTTATTAGGAAGATGCCAACTTTCAGAAATTGATGTAGTGAAAACCAATTTTTCAAAAAAGACAAAACCAACCAAATTTACTAAGAGAATCCCCCAACTCTCTCCCTCCTTTCCCTCCCTCCTTCCTTCTTTCCTTCCTTCCCTCCCTCCCACCCTTCACTTCCTCCCTCCCACAATCCCTCCCTTTCTTTCGTTTGCTTCCTCTCTCCCTCCTGCCTTATCTCATTTATCAGAAATAAAATCTATCATGTCAAATAACAAGGATTATAGAAAAAGTAACTTGAATTTCTTCTTTTCCCATCCTTGTTAAAGCAATATAATATAAATTATCAGACATTACTCATTATCTTGAGAAAATTGAAAATGTGGTGACTTTGTTTAGGAAGATTAAGTTTTTCCCCTGAGTTAACATTAGTCAAAGCTACCATTTTCCATGATAAGATACAATATATATTTAGTCCTAAAAAAATCACATTTCTAATACCAAACAGACAAATTAGACTTTTTCCCTAGAAAAGAATAAGGCATCAATACTACCTGATCAATGAGGGTGACATTCTCCAAACTCCAACAGTACAACATCTGGGATATTCTTTTGCAAGGAG